TACGTGTAGTGGATGTCAGAGTAGTACGTTGAGGGTGTATATGATACGTTTTCGTCCTTAGTATGGTGGGCGCGGCTCGAATAGGGTCATAGCGGGCGAAGACGGGGGCAGGCACTTCGCCTGCCACCGATGCGCAGATTTCAGACCAAAAAGTGTGCCATGCTGGGGCTCGAACCGTGGAGCAGTATGGCCGGACCGAAAACGTTGTCTTAGTTGCCACTTGACTATATCAGCGACACAACGATAGCCGTAACGCATACCAGGTGTAATTGTGCAATGAAAGAGCGAATGGCGGGCGGCCACGGCCCACCTGTACGTACACGGGCCCCGAGCTTCGGAATAATCCACTTTCCCTTCCCCCTGAGTCTCTGCTCTTCCCCTCTGAATCCTCGTCTCCATGTGTTGTCTGATCTCTACAATACTTTCTATACAGTGTTGGAGCAAGCAATCCGAGCGCAGTGACAGCACGAGCTCCCGATGCCTGCGCGTGCGGATGCTGTATGTGCGACACACACACTTGTCGTACCTCACGCTCGACCTATTGCATACCGGGTATACCTACACCTTGCTCTATGATATGCTACTGTTACTTACTGCACGATTGCGCCTTCTTGACCTTTGCTTACCCCTGCGCCACCTTTTGTATATCACTCATTCATCGATTCATTGTTTCCATTTACAGTACATGTTTGCATTCTGCGCCTTTCCATCTCCCGCCTCGTGTTCCCGCTCGTCGCTCGTGCAGCGCTCACATATACTGACCGCCTCTCATTTTGACCCCTCAGTCTTGCACCCGTACCACAAGTGCACCGTACTGAGGTCCTTGTCTGTTCGCCCACAGATCCCACTGCATGCTCCGTTATACAGTACTTTGAACAGTCATATACGGGCTTGATTCATTGAACAGGTATGCACAGGCTTAATTTCTTGAACAGGCATGTACAGGCATAGTTCTGTGAACAGCTGTACACAATGGATACTTTGAAAAAACACATACACCATTGACATTTTCAACAAGCATGTACAAGCTTAATTTACTGAACAGGGCTGAACACAACTATTACTGTAGCAATATGACCAAACCAGTGAGGGGTTTTGGTGTGACCAGCGGGACTGAAAGCAGTGCTGCCACCGAAGGTGGCGCGAGCGCCTGGGGAGTGTGACTGGCGAGCACAAAGCGGCGTGGTGGCCCCGCCGGTGAGCCCTAAGAACGGTGTGACCGGCAGAGGACCACCGGACAAAGTGGCGGGGGCCGCGGTGACGTGCGACATGGGCCTGAAAGCAGCGCAGCAGAGGTCAATGTGACCTGTGACCCGCTGGATTGGTCATATAGCTACAGTACTTTGTATAGGCACATAGTGGTCTAATTTATTTAAGCAGCATGTACAGGCTTAATTCTGTGAACATATCGCAATTTTTGGACCCCATTGATGAGTAGCCCATGATGCTGGCTGGACCTTACTGGTAAGTCTGTAGGCATGTACAAGCTTAACTTGTTGAACAGAGCTGAGCACAGTTGATACTTTGAACAGGCATATGGGGGCTTGATTTCTTGAACGGAGCTGTACAGGTCTGCTTCAATGAACAAGTGCATATGATCTTGATTTCTTGAACAGGCATGTACAGCATGATTTGTGAACAGAGCTGCACAGGTTTGATTCACCAGTGATGCACTCAAGCCTCCCATAATGGCCACTAGGATGTCAGGGTCACAGGGTCGAGAGGATGAGACCCAAGAAATGACTTGTGTGAGTGGGGGTTCCGAGTACAATCCTGAGTTCCCTACAAACACGGAGGGCGCGAGAGGGGGTTGAGCGAGCTTTTGCTCCTAACCCGAGAGTAGGGGATTGCGCGGACGCTGGTCGGCGGGCGCGACACAACACAGAGTACCGAGACACGGTGACTTCGGGGAGGTGCTCACTGTATTCAACAAGCTGTGGGCGTTAGGGGGCTATTGGGGAGGATTTTGCGGACGTGGTCGAAGTTGCAGTCGCAGGCGCAGACCCAATCGTAAACTTGTGCTCTGAAGGGGTAAGAGAAAGTGAATTTTCCCGGTGCTTGGGGCCCGCATATATACAGGAGGGGCCGGAGCCGTACGGGAAGAGTAGAAATAAGGGGGCACCCATCACATGGAGTGCGACGGGTGCGACCATCAGGGTCTGCAATGGGGGCCGTGGCCTACGGGCCATGCCTAGGCTGTCGGGACTGCGTGTTTCGTGTGGTGTGATTGGTGGGTGAGGACACGTGCACCGTGACCCCCGACGCACGTATCGGGCGTACCACAGTGCGCCCCGAGCCCCCGATGCTTGTCAAGGCTTGGTGTTCCCGCCGTCACGGCCTACATGGCTCAACTCGCGGGTGGCGAACAGTGGTTGGGCGTGAGAGACCGGGGAGCCTTTGGGGTGCGAGTCTTCGTGGTGCGAGTTGGGACCCGACACCTGCACGGGGATAGGCATCAGGGCAGTTGAACTCAAGAGCGGTGCCCACACCACGGTGGGTGGCAGGTGTGGTGAATGTGTATCACCAGACAATTGCATACAGGGTTAATTTATTGAACAGGCACATACAGGCTTAATTTACTGAACAGGCACATACAGGCTTAATTTATTGAACAGGCACATACAAGCTTAATTCTACAAATAGAGCTGCACAGGTTTGATGTACTGAACAGGCACACACAAGCTTGATTTGTTGAACAGGCACACATGGCTTAATTCTACAAACTGGCACATACAGGCTTAATTTTACAAACAGAGCTATACTTGTTTGATTTTGTGCATAGAGCTGCACAGGTTTGATGTACCAAATGGGCACATATAGAATTGATTTATCAAACAGGCACATACAGGCTTAATTCTACAAATAGAGCTGTACATGATTAATATTGTGAACAGGCATGTACAGGCTTGATTTTGAATAGGCATATACAGGCTTAATTCCATGAACAGCCACGTACAGGCTTGGTTTATTGAACATGCACGTACGGGTTTGATTTCTTAGACAGGCATGTGCATACTTAATGCTGTAAATAGAGCTATACGTGACTGATATGTTGAACAGGACTGTACACACTTGGTACTTTGAGCAGGCACATACAAGTTTGATTTATTGAACAGGCCTTTACAGGCTTCATGTCATGAATAGAGCTGAGCTTTTGCAAGCATGTATGGGCTGTTGTGTTTGGCACTTATGAGCGAGCTCGTGCGGCATGTGCACTATCGTGCGCATCTCTCGGGATCGTGCGGATGGTGGCACACAGGCCCCTTATGCATGCAGTCTGCCTCCCTATGCATGCCTTACGTGTTTGCTCTCCCCTTCCCCCCACTCTCGTTGCTCCCTTTGCGCTGCAAATGCGCCCGTTGATGCACTCAAGCCTCCCGTAACAGCCGCTAGGATGCCGGGGTCGATGGGCCGAGAGGACGAGACCCGAGAAGTGACTTGTATGAGCGGGGGTTTCAAGTACAATCCCGAGTTCCCTACGAACATGGAGGTGCAGAGGAGGGGGGTCGAGCAAGCTTATTGCTCCTGACCCGAGGGTAGGGGATTGCACAGACGCTGGTTGGCGGGCGCGACGTGAAGTGGGGTACCAGGACACTGTGACTTCGGGGAGGTGCTCACTGTATTTGATGCAGACGGGGGCGTCAGGGCGCTGTCGGAGGGGGGCTTGCGAACACGGTCGGGGTCGCAGTCGCAGACGCAGGCGCAAACACAACTTGAGCTCTGAAGGGGTAAGAGAAAGTGAATTTCCCAAAAGGTCGGGGGCCTCGTATATACAGGAAGGGCCTGAGCCCATAGATAAAGTAGGTAAAGTGAATACCTGCCATGCTCGGTGCAGCGGGTGCAACGATTGGGGCGCGACGCTGAGGCCACACGCACCCGTCAGGGTCTGGATCGCCTGTTCGTGCGCGCGACCGGCATGGTGATTGGGTAGCGGGTCGGTCACGCCGCGCATGCCCCAATGTTTGCTTGGCCGACGTCACCCTATCGCGGGGAGGGTAGGTCTTGGTGTTGTGGTCGGGGCGACCTCTCGGGGTGAACCCTGAGCTGCTTGGCTCGCGGGTGTCTCGGTGTTGTGTGCTAAAGCCCCGTCTACCCTCAGGGCCCCCGCCGGCATCGGGGTGTCTCATTTGGGGTAAGTGCAGGGGCGCGCTGGGGTGGATGAGCTCGGGAGTGGAGGGTACACCACGGCGGCTAGCAGGCACGGTGAGTGTGCATCACCGTTTGCTCTCCTTCCTGTCACCAGTCACCACTTGTTGTCTGACCTTGTGCACTTAGATGCCGAACAAGCGCTCTTGAACGCGAAACATCTACATGGGCTTGATTTATTAAGTAGACATGTACAGGCTGACTTTTGTAAACAGGGCTGTACATGATTGATACTTTGAACAAGCACACACACAATCAACATGTTGAAGAGGCATATCCAGGCTTGATTGATTGAACAGAGCTGTACGCAATTAATATCTTGAGCAGGCATGCATGAGCTTAATCTATTGAACAGGGTGGCACACAATTGATACTTTGAACAGGCACGTACAGGCTTGATTGATTGAAGAGGGCTGTACATGATCAATACTTTAAACAGGCGCATATGGGCTCAATTTATTGAACAGGCCTCTACAGGCTCGTTCAAAATATTAATAAAGTAGAACTCTGTTCATATCATTAAGCTTGTATGTGCCTATTATATGAATCAAGCCTGTATGTGCTCGTTCAATAAATCAAACCTGTACAGGTTTATGTGTAGAATTAAGCCCATGTGTGCCCATTCAATAAATTAAGCCTGTATGAACCTGTAATATAAATCAAGCCTGTATAGCTCTGTTCGTAGAATTAAGCCAGTGTGTCCCCATTCAATAAATTAAGCCCATGTGTTCCTGTTCAATAGATCCAGCCTGTATGCACCTGTTTGTAGAATCAAGCCTGTGCATGTCTGTTCAATTAATTAAGCCTGTACGTGCTCGTTCAACAAATCAAGCCTGTATGCACTTGTTCATAGAATTAAGCCCGTGTGCGCCCATTCAATAAATCAAACTGGCATAGCTCTGTTTGTAGAATCAAGCCTGTGCGTGTCTGTTCAATAAATTAAGCCTGTACGTGCTCGTTCAACAAATCAAGCCTGTATGCACTTGTTCATAGAATCAAGCCTGTGCGTGTCTGTTCAATAAATTAAGCCTGTGCGTGTCTGTTCAATAAATTAAGCCTGTACGTGCTCGTTCAACAAATCAAGCCTGTATGCACTTGTTCATAGAATTAAGCCCGTGTGCGCCCATTCAATAAATCAAACCCGTACAGCTCTGTTTGTAGAATCAAGCCTGTGCGTGTCTGTTCAATAAATTAAGCCTGTACGTGCTCGTTCAACAAATCAAGCCTGTATGCACTTGTTCATAGAATCAAGCCTGTGCGTGTCTGTTCAATAAATTAAGCCTGTGCGTGTCTGTTCAATAAATTAAGCCTGTACGTGCTCGTTCAACAAATCAAGCCTGTATGCACTTGTTCATAGAATTAAGCCCGTGTGCGCCCATTCAATAAATCAAACCCGTACAGCTCTGTTTGTAGAATCAAGCCTGTGCGTGTCTGTTCAATAAATTAAGCCTGTACGTGCTCGTTCAACAAATCAAGCCTGTATGCACTTGTT